ACGGGCGCGACACTGAGGGTTGCGATCCGTTGCCGGACACGAAAAAAAGACAAAAAAAAAAAGTAAATCATTGTTAATTCAGGTAGCAACATAAAGTATATCCGTATCTCCGCTTCCTGTGACATGANATCATTGTTAATTCAGGTAGCAACATAAAGTATATCCGTATCTCCGCTTCCTGTGACATGATATTTGGTATGTTATCAGAATCCACAGATATGTTCCCCGACATCTTGCTCAGAAGTGTGTCAGTGTCGGTGACACTGAGCAGCACAAGTGTAGTTCTCCATGTTCCATTCAAAGAAGATGAACACCTGGGGGGACTCAGGGAGGAGTACGAGGACCAAGTGGCTCAGTGGGGAGCATAGGAGCCACATGGTCCGTCACCAAGCGGGGGATACCTGGGACTCGGGATGGGTGGGTAGATAACAAACCTGGGGCAGCTCACTGGCTGAGCGAGGTGCGGGCGCGGCGCTGAGGGTTGCGATCCCGTTGCTGGTCCCGGTCCGGTACGGGCGCGACACTGAGGGTTGCGATCCGTTGCCGGACACGAAAAAAAGACAAAAAAAAAAAGTAAATCATTGTTAATTCAGGTAGCAACATAAAGTATATCCGTATCTCCGCTTCCTGTGACATGAGTATTTGGTATGTTATCAGAATCCACAGATATGTTCCCCGACATCTTGCTCAGAAGTGTGTCAGTGTTGGTGGCACTGAGCAGCACAAGTGTAGTTCTCCATGTTCCATTCAAAGAAGATGAACACCTGGGGGGACTCAGGGAGGAGTACGAGGACCAAGTGGCTCAGTGGGGAGCATAGGAGCCACATGGTCCGTCACCAAGCGGGGGATACCTGGGACTCGGGATGGGTGGGTAGATAACAAACCTGGGGCAGCTGGCAGGCATGTAAGCAGCAGGAGAGCAAAACTCATGGGAAACCAGAGTTTAGCACCTGGAAAGCAAGACCAAGAATTAGAGCTGGGAGGAAAGGAAAACCACTCACTGAAGAATGAGGTCTGAGGTCGGAGGCTACGCTGTGCCACGGGTCAGGAAGTGGAGTGCAGGATGAATTGGAGAGCAGTTCAAAGCAAAGACAAGAACAGCGAAAGGAGCCCATGCCTCGGTTCTGGGCTGTCGGCTGAGAATGAGGTCTGAGGTCGGAGGCTACGCTGTGCCACGGGTCAGGAAGTGGAGTGCAGGATGAGTTGGAGAGCAGTTCAAAGCAAAGACAAGAACAGCGAAAGGAGCCCATGCCTCGGTTCTGGGCTGTCGGCTGGGGGGGTGGATGATCCAAGGGCTGAAAGTTGCTGGTCTGGACCACGTGGGTAGCATAGAGCCTGGGCCACCCCTTGCCAAGGGCTGGGCCGTAAGAGCACGGTGACTGGGTTTTCGGAATTCAATCCTGTGGCTCAGGCCAATGTTGCCAGGAGTTTATAATTCCTAGGAGACCTTACAGGAGAGGGTCTAGAAGCCCACCAGAGAGTAACAGGAATTGCTTGAGAGATTAAAAACAATCCTTTGTGCACACAAAGATGCTCTGGAGGTGCCTGTGGTGTCCATAATGGCATTTTCATGGGGATGGAGGGCTTCTATGGGGCTGTGTACATCACTGATCGTTTCCTCCCATGACACCTGCTTCTGTCTTCCAGTACCACTTCAACCCCTCGCAGTCCATCCTGGTGATGGAAGGTGATGACATTGGGAACATTAACCGTGCCCTCCAGAAGGTCTCCTACATCAACTCCAGACAGTTCCCGACAGCGGGTGTGCGACGCCTCAAAGTCTCCTCCAAAGTCCAGTGAGTGGACGCCGGTCAGCCTGGGGCCCAACTGAGGCAGCAGGGATGTTCCCCTGGGAACGCTCCCTTGCAAAACAGGATTCACTGTCCTCCAGCTGTCCTCAGTTTCTCTTCTGTGCCAATGAGGATGCCTCAACGGACTTGTGTTCCCCTTTTTTCTTCTTAAAAAAAATGTTATCTTATTTTGCCAACTCAAATCCACCTTTCTCTGTTTTATTCTGTATCTGATCTAATACCTAGAAGGTACTACTTCCTATAAATTCCCAGAGAGCTGGCTTTGAAGTGGTCTGATTGAAGGGCACAGTGCTTGATACATAGTAGGTGCTTGACATATGTTTACTAAATTGAGTTAAATTAGCCAGCCAGGTTTATAGAGTTCCTAAATACCATAGGTATGTGTATTAGTCAGTTTCTGTTGCTTATGACAGAATATCTGAGACTGGGTTATTTATAAAGAAATAGAATGTACTTCTTACAGTTTCAGAGCTGGGAAGTCCAAAGTCCAGGGAACACATCTGATAAGGGCCTTGTTCTTAGTGGTGGCACTACAGCGCCCCAATGAGGTCTTAGGAGAGCGTTAGATTGTGCTCAAAACCACAGTGCAGGCTGTGATTAGCTTCTTTTCTCTATGTCATCTGCATTTAATCCTTGCTGCTGTAGAGCAAGTATTGTTATCCCCATTATACAGGTGAAGAAACTGAGGTTCACAGGAGTCGATGCATTATGTTCAGTAACCCAGACCAGGAGTGGCAGAGCCAGGGTGGGATTTTTGTTTGTCTGATTTCCCAGGCCTTGCTCTCGCCGTCACACCATTTCTGCCTCCCACAGTTCTGCTTTTGTGGCAGTGCATCAGGAAAAGAGCATGATTACAATAGCGTGCTAGAAAAGGCTCACATGAGTGATGTCCTCCTAGAGACATGACACATACGCTGAGGTAGGAAAGTTTAGCCCTGGGGTCTCATTTGGTGAGATGGCTGTAACCTCCAGTTAGACAGTTTGCTTACCAAATTCTAATGCATGTAACAAGTATTTGCTGTCTTATTAACGTTGCCATTGATTACTTTGTTAAAGGATAATGAAGAGTTAACAGTTACTTGTTGCTCATATAGAAAATTCCCTTTCCTCCCAGAAGCCAGTCTTTTAGGTCCCTAGATTGCTAGCAATTTTGATTATGATGTGGCTTTAAATTTGCATGTCTGTTGACATCCTCAGAGACTCTTAGGCAGGCAGAATGACTTGGAAAGGACTAGAGGAGCCAGGTCCTTGTCCGTGGCTGTATGATGATGGTTTAACTGTTTGCCATTTTGCCAGGTGCTTTGGGGAAGATGTGTGCATCAGCATCCCTGACATAGACGCCTATGTGATGGTCCTACAGGCCATCGAGCCCCAGATCACCCTCCGGGGCACTGACCGCTTCTGGAGACCTGCTTCCCAGTTTGAAAGTGCCAGAGGAGTGATCCTCTTCCCTGACATCAAGATCGTGAGCACCTTCGCCAAAGCCGAGGCCCCCGGGGATGTGAAAACCACAGGTGTGCATTCAGGGTTGTGGGGAAGGTGGGCCTTAATTTCTTACAGCCACATAAAGTGGTACTTCAGGACAACAGCATTATTCACCATGGCAGGGTAACAGTAGCAAAACAATCAAATAAACAAAGCTGAAAACTACCCAAATGAACAGCAGCAGGGGAATGAATAGGTTAGCAAATTCTGGCATACCCTTACAAGTGATATGCGGTTGGAGAGAAGGTATTTGGTGCTAAACGGTAAATGAAAAAAGCAAGACACCAAATTACATAGTCTCTACACATAAAATGATCTCAACCACATAAGAAAAAAAAAATAGGAAATTGCCAAGAAGGACACCCACCTAATGATGCCGGAAGACACCAAATTACATAGTCTCTACACATAAAATGATCTCAACCACATAAGAAAAAAAAAAATAGGAAATTGCCAAGAAGGACACCCACCTAATGATGCCGATGATGTTCTCTGAGAAGCATGATAAGAGCCAGTTTGTTTCTGCTTCCCTTCCTTTTCGCAACTGCAGAGATGTTCTATAGTGAGCACGTATTATTCTGACAATCAGAAGAAAAGCTAAATATGCACAAAGAAAAAACTATAGCTGCTTCTTAATGTATTCATGGTAAAAGTTAGGTCTCATTCAGCTCTCAGGAAACTTTCAAGTGGTTATTTCCAACAGTTTCATTATTGGGAGGGTTGCTGAGTGAAAGTAGAGTAAATTGAATTATCTGCCATGGAGAAATACTTAATACTGTTGAAATCTACAGTGGGGAGGGAGAGAAAGGAAACAGAGAAAAGAGGGAAGGAGGGGGGACATCCCTTTTGTTAACTCATGGGGCACGGGTCCCAGGTCTATGGGGAATAATTCGTTTGAGAACTGTCCTTTGTTGCCTGTTCCAAGAGAATACTTTCAACTCTCCCATCCCCCTCCAAAAGCCACTGCTAATGATGGGCTGTGGACCCAAGTCCCTGAAGAGCTGCTTCTGTGAAAATCCTAATTACCCATAGCCTTAAACCACCCTGATCCCTAGCCAATGGGATATTTGAGAGGCAGCCCTTCTGAGCTCATAAAAATAGATGGTGTCTTACTACCTGTCCATGCAGGGCAGTTTCCTAAAAGTTCCCTAAAGTGCTTTGGGTCGTGTGATCTTCCCTCTTCCCCTGTCCTCATCTGTGGCTAAAATCAGACAGAAAATGAAGGGCCATTGACCTCAGTTGTTGTAGCCGTGACCAAGGGCATGAGGATTTGCAGCGTCTGACACCAGCACACAGGCAATGCAGGGCAGAGCAATTATCTGGGTCCACTTTTCACCTTCTGATTATGAGAGGTTCATGCAGAGCACAGAGCCATGTGCCCAAGAGCTATTATTAGTACTTTCACATTTTTGCTCTTCTTGTTGTTGAAACAATCATTATTGTGGGTGTCTTAAACAAGCAGGCTGATGGCATTTGCCATCAGGCTGGAGTGAGCAGTTCCAGCATCATCTTCTGCCCCCATCAATGCACACTTTATGCTGTCTCAGAGACAGGAGATTCGGCTCAACGCATGCATACATGTGCAGGCATTTGCCATCAGGCTGGAGTGAGCAGTTCCAGCATCATCTTCTGCCCCCATCAATGCACGCTTTATGCTGTCTCAGAGACAGGAGATTCGGCTCAACGCATGCATACATGTGCATGCACACACACACATGCACACACTCACACACACCCGTTTGTGTCATGCCTTTGCTCTGTCCTCTGCTTGGTAGGTCCCTCTCCCTCCCCATCCCCTTTATTGCTGCAAAGCTTCTCTGCCTTCAACACCCTCTCCAGAAGGCTCCCACCACCAGCACTGACCCAGGCTGGGCTCATCGCCTGCTCTGTACATGACCAACTGTTTGTGCTGCCCTTTAACACACATTTTTTTTTGCCCTCCCTGTTGACTGTTCACTAAATCAGACAAGGAGCTACCTGAGGGCTCAACATGGCTGATTTACCTCTGGGCCCCTGAATCCAGCACAGCCTTTTCAACACAGTGGGAATAAAGGGAACTGCAGGTAAAAGATAATACCCATAGTGCGATCTCAGAGAGCAGTGAGAAGTTGGCAGCCCAACGAGCCCCAGCCAGCAGAGCTCTCAGTCAGCCACCCCCTCGGGAGGTGGGAACAGGATGATCTACCACTTGGAACAGATACACAGTCACCATTGTTAATGATAGACCTCGTCTTAAGTGTATATTACTGTGCTTTCAGGTTTTGCTAGTGACACAAGAAACCACTGTGATTGGCAAACATTTAAAAATTAAATATACAGAAATTAATATATATCTAGGGAGAGCAGAAAATATTTTTTGTATCACTAAAAAATTAAACAAAATAATTATTTAAAATAACTCTCTCATCCTTAGTGAATCCTTTTTTAAATTTCTGTTTTTATAAGCATTTTATAATGCACAAAATGTGTTTAGTCCACTTTTGGGAAGTTTGGAGACATAAAATCAGGCAAGGAAAGACAACTAGACTGGCCAACGTGTTAATGTGTTCACCTGGGAGCACATTAATTAATTAATTTAATTAACTTAATTCATCGATTATTAATTAATGATTGGTTATATTGTGTTTACTAAATTGATCATTGATTAATTAATGATCCAGCTCCATTTGAGCAACGTGCAGTACTAATAGCTCCCTGCCAGCCCCTGGGTTACACACTGTGGATCCAGTCGTAGAAAGATGGTGCTTCTGCTCTTGAGAACCTCAGAGTCTGGTGGGAAGACAGATATACACACTTTGGCTACCTATCACCTCCACAAATGACAGCTGCTGCTTCCTGAGCACCTATGCCATGCCAGACACTGTTTTCAACCCTCTCAAGACCCCTGCCCTCTTTACAGATGAGCAAACTGCATACTAGATAGATTCTCCATCACTTTACAGCTTCTCAGTAGCAGACCTGGTGTTCACATTCACAGTATTTGACTACAGTATTCATGCTCTTCCCTCTAGTTCATGCCACCCAACCTGAAGGCCACCTGACACCTGAGTGGTGGGCATGGTATTTGGGATTGCACAGCCTCTCCTCCTGACCCAGCCTTGACCAGGGACCTGCAATAATGGAGGAGGAAGTTGTAAGCAAGGCTGTTATCTGAGCTGTGTCTTATGCCTGTATTTCCCACGTGTCTGTCTTCCCACAGCCCCCAAATCAGCCATCTTAGAAGAAATGCTTCACAACTTAGATTTCTGTGACATTTTGGTGCTTGGAGGGGACTTGGACCCAAGACAGGAGTGCTTGGAGCTCAACCACAGTGAGCTTCACCAACGACACCTGGATGCCACTAACTCCACCGCAGGCTACTCCATCTATGGTAAGGCCATGCTCAGCCCCCTTCACCCCAGTAGTGTCCTCTAAGAACATCCTAGTCCAGGGAGTCAGAAGTGTGGTGGCACCTGTGGAGGTGCACTGTAAAGCCCCGGGTGTCAGGTAGAGACCTTTGACCTCAGAGCATGGATTTCTAGATTCTACTTTGGTTAGTTACTCCAGCATCTGAAGCACCTGTCCTATAGCCCCATCACTGGGGAAATCTTCTGTAGAAACTAGGTGGATGCTTTCTCTTAAATGTTTGATCTCAGCAAACGTTACGTCAATGTTTGGCAGATTGAGACCAAACATTTCAGTCAGAGTCCAGTCTATGTGGAAAGCCTCTGGATCCATTTAATAGGCTCCATAGAACTGCTTCAGCACATTGTATGCCCATAAATATCTTGAGCTCTGACCCTTGACAAATTCAGGAGACGACCAAGCCCCGACAGCCCCAGCCTGTCTCCCATCTTCTCTTCCTCCTTTTCTGCCTCCTGATGATAGCTGTGGTGTCTTGGTACAGGTGTGGGCTCCATGAGCCGCTACGAGCAGGTGCTGCACCACATCCGCTACCGCAACTGGCATCCAGCCTCCCTTGAGACCCGACAGTTCCGGATCAAGTGCTCAGAACTCAATGGGCGCTACACCAGCAATGAGTTCAACTTGGAGGTGAGTGGGGCCTGCCACTGTTAGGGAGGCCCAGTCCCACCCACTCATCCCCTCACTTATTCAGGAGAGTCAGGAGAACCCCTGCAATGGGCCCAGCCACCACTCCCAGCCAACGGCACTCGCCCTGCTCTTCCCAGGTCGGCGTCCTCCGTGAGGTCAGAGTCTCAGACAAGGAACACGTCAACCACCTGATCGTGCAGCCTCCCTTCCTCCAGTCTGTCCATCAGCCTGAGTCCCGGAGTAGCATCCAGCACAGTTCAGGTAGGGCACATGGGAGGAGGGACCTCAGGACACCAGGTGGTCACTGCGACTCAAGACCATTCACCAAACAGACAGTTATGTCGCAGCAGCCATGGGTGACCAGACAGAGAGAGAGAAGCCAGCAGTGGGGAAGATGTGGGCCCTGCCTCTGAGGCACTCCCAGCCTCATTAAGGAGCCATTCAAGTAAACAGGAAGTCACACACAATACATAACAACAGAGCTTGGAACAAAGGGCTGGGCAAAATTTTGCTAGTCCTTTCTAGCCCAACTCAAAGTCACGCACTGTATGAAGCTTTCCGTGGACCTCTACAGACACTCAACACACACATGTATACCACATTGCCACATCCTCTGCCCACACATGTGTTTGAGCATTTGCCGTATTGTGTGACCACCTGGTGGGCATTTGTGTCTGTTCCTAACTAAACTCCACTGGCTCTCAGTAGGCACTGGCTGTAATTTGAGGGAAAACATCAAGGAAAGAAGAGAACTTGCATTTATTGAGCACTTACTCTGTGCCTATGTGGAAGCTGTGGAAACTCACATAGACTATTTCATTTACTCCCCACACTCACCCATAGGATAGGAATTCTTGAGTAGATGATGAAAGTGAAGCCCGGACAGGGGGAGGTGCTAACCCAGAGTTGGACAGCATGGCTGTTTTAGTTCATGCTCCCTCACAGAATAAGCAAGACCTTTGTTCACCATGTCGTGTGGGCTCCTTCCTCATTCCAGTGGTCCCAAGCATTGCCACGGTGGTCATCATCATTTCCGTGTGCATGCTGGTGTTTGTCGTGGCCATGGGCGTCTACCGGGTCCGGATCGCCCACCAGCACTTCATCCAGGAGGCCGAGGTTACCAAGGAGGCCGAGATGGACTGGGATGACTCTGCACTAACGATCACAGTCAACCCCATGGAGGTGATCCTCACGGAGGGCTGGAAGCTCGGTGGCGATGTGGGGGGTGTGGGCAGGCTGGGAGGCTGTGGGTGGGGAGTGCCTCTCCCTCCACCCAGCTGCATCTTTCTTGTGCCTGAAGCCTGGCCCAAAACCTTCCTGGAAGCCCTGCCCCAACTAGTCCAGCTCCACTGATTCTTCCCACCTCGAAACTCCCCCAGCCCTCTCTATCTTAACAGACCTACTTTCCTGCCAACTACATTCTCCGATTAAAAACCTGTGAATTGCTCCCACCCCACAAACAGAACCAGAAATTTCTTAGAGCAAACAGCCATGTGGTGTCTATCCCTAGCCTCCCCCATATTATTTAGCTCAGAGCTGACTAACACTTAGAGACTCGATATTGAATTCTTGATTAACTCACAGTGCAGATTAGATGGCTTTGTTCCATACTCCTGCAGAGCTCACTTAAAGGCTCAGAATAGGTTAAAGCAAAAATGCAACAACACCTGCCAGTTATTGAGCCCCTGTTCTGGCAGACACTGTGCAGAGTGCTCTAGAAACTCCGCCTCATTTAATCTTCCAACCACCTGTGGAATAGGAGTCGTCATTTTCATTCACCAGGGTGGGAGCAGCTACCAGGGGTGAAGTCAAGTGCTCAGTCTCACACAGCCAGCACTCACACTCAAGGTCATCTGATTCTAATGTCCATTATCTTACATCTCATCGTTATCTAGTAGCCCTCAGAATCCATGCATGAGTGGATGTGGGATACCCATGGAAGCCATCGTGCCCTTTGCCCATGGGTGCTGGGTGGTGGGACACTCAGGCTTAGGAATGCAGGGGAAGACCAGGAGGTCACTGGGAAATAACAAAGATCCCAGCTTGTTCTGCAGTTTCTGCCTCAGCTGGTCTCACGGTGTGATTGCTAAGCCAGCATGCTGATGTGGCCCAGCAGTCTCTCTAATCATGTGCTGTAGGTTCAGGGCTGACCTCACCACTGTGGGGACCACAGCATTTCCACCCCCGAAGGCCTGAGGCTTGGGGGCAGAACACAAGACACTGCACCTGGAGAAGTCTGAGGACCAGGCTAGAGTGTGCCTAACAAGGGCTGACCTTGTGATGTCAACAGTCAGTGAGGCTTGAGTAGGCAGAGCCTTTGGGGCTAGAGTTCATGGAAGATTCTGCGGAGGAAGTTGGCCTAAAGGCCATCTTGAAGAATGGGTAGGATTTGGGGGAGGAAAAGGTAGAAGAGAAGACATTCTAGAGAGGAGATGTAGCCAAGCAAGGAGACACATCTTCTACGGCCTGGTTCACCAACTCAAAATGTAAATCCAGAAATAAGATTTTGCTGGAATCACCAAAAAGCTGGAAGGAGGAATGGGACTGACTGGAAAAGGTGGGTACAGCTTGAGGACAGAAGGCAGGGAGTGAGGGGCAGGCATGCAGAGTGAGGACTGTGAACTTTGTCCTTTCCAAAGGAGTATTTTTGAAGGGCAGCACACCCGAGTCTTGGATGAGAAGGCCTTCTACTCCTAGGGACATTATATTCCCACCTGGGAAAAGGGTACAAGCTTAGATGCTACTCTTTCATTGAAAAGCAGTGGCTTGGGGAGCTCCATTTAGATAGGCTCTAAAAATGCCCCCAAGCAAGCCTTGGCCTGAAAGGCTCTATAAATGACGGATGGGATTAGTTTAAATGTCCATCCCATCATTTACACACAACATTGTTCCTTGAGTTCACATCTTGGAATTTTCTGTTATTTCAGGCCTTTGTCCTTAACCCTCTGACTCCCCTTTCACCAGAAGATCCCCTTCCAGAAGGCCTGTCTCAGGCCCAAGGCTTTAGCATTAAGAGAAAGGAATCCCAAGGGCCCTAAATTCCTCCTTAATGGAGCGAGAAACTTAACCTCAGCCATGATTAGTATTTCCCTTCTCTCCCTGACATCCAGAAACATGGAGAACCAGGGCGTGGGGAGGATGAGACTGAGGGCGAGGAGGTTGAGGAAGACATGAGCTCCAGCAGCAGCGCCTCGGATGACAGCGAAGAGGAGGAGGAAGAGGAAGGGACGGGCCGAGGCAGACGCGGGCAGAGCGGCACCAGGCAAGCCCAGCTGGAGTGGGATGACTCCACCCTCCCCTACTAGCGCCTGGAGCTCCACCGCCAGCCCACGTGTCTTTTTTGTAAGCCCGACCCATGTATGCCCGTGTCTCTCACACCTCACCTCTGTGTCTGTGACAGGTCTGGGAGGCCTTCTCCAGCTTCCCAGAACCCATTCCTCATGCCTCGGGCACTCCCTGTGTCCCAGCCATAGGGTGGTTCCAGGAAACCCAGCGTCATCATCAGTGGGGACTTCAGGGTGGACTTTGTCCTGTAGCCCCCACTTCTGCCCTGGGCTCACCCAGCCTCCTGTCAGCCCCGTCTGCAGAGTTCTGCCTTTGCTCTTATCTGCAGGGGAGAGGGTCAGCCTTTACACCACTCACCTCCCCCAGGCTCAGGCTTCCCAAGGCCCCTGGGTTCCTATACACTGTGTGGTGCATGCACCTGCTGAATCGTCTCTCTCCACACAGACCAGCAGGCCCTCCTTACGCTGACTCTCCAGGTGACTTCCTATGGGGAGGGTGGCTGAACTTCATACAACTAAGGTCTGAGTGCTTAACACTTAAAGGAAAGTCCTTGTTGAGGCAGAATTAAGTTTACAGGGAAAGGTACATGCACACTCTCCCCAGGTTGGAGAGCCTTTCCCTTTGCTTCTTTCTAAGCTTATATGAAAAGTCTGCAACCAAGAATAGGTCCTTGGCCACAAGAGGGGCCTGGTCCTCACCAAAGCTATCTGAGCCTGCCTGCCTGGGCAGCTGCTGAGACTTGGGTGGCTGGCCTGCCTGGGGGCGCACCACACAAAACCCAGGGCCGGGAAGCATCCACACAAGCACTGCCCCCATGACAGCCACGACAAGCCTATAGCCAGGAAGCAGAAGGGAGGGCTCAAGAGATGACATGACTGGGCTCCATGGCTGACATCGATCTGGGAGATGGATGGCGCAGCTGGGCTCCCCAAGGACAGAGGGACCTCAAGGTTGGCGAGGCTCTCACCACCTAGCCTCGTGGTCCCTTATCTCCTATTTTACACAGCTTTTCCTCTAGAGAAGATACACCCATCTCAGATGTGTTAGAACAAGCACGAAATCCACCAAGTCTAAAAAGAAAGTTTGGAAATGCAACAGCTAGGAATTAGCAGCTGCTTCTTTCTTCTCATAAAAAAGAAAAATGCTTTGGGTAGAGGACAGATATATCCAAAAACCTAATTTCTTTTTCTCTTCTTTTTTAATAAGGAAGTCTTTTCCATTTCCATCCTCACACGGACAGCTCTTGAGGAGAATTGTTGCTATAGTAACTGGTCTGTGATCTTTTGTGACCAAGAGAATAGCAGGCGAGAATGAAGGCTGTTATAGGACTTCCAAGAGGCCCTGAACGTCTCGGGTTCCTCTTTGTCCTCAGTATGTACGAGATGTCCTCATCCTCCAGTCCCTCCCCAATCTTGTTCCATATTGGTTTAGAACAGGCACAGAGCTGGTCCCTAGTCAAGTGGCTTTCAGATTCAACAGAAAGTTCAGAATCTGCTCAGTCTAGTCCATGTGCCGTCAAAACAGAGAGCTTAAGAAAGGCGAGTGCTGCCAATGTCCTCTAGTCTGACCTCAACCCAGGGAGAATCCACGGCAGGCCTTTGCAACCTTCTGCCTCGGGAGGACTACCTTATGCAGCTTTTTCCATCTCCCACCATGTTTTTGCATCTGTTCCCTCCTTTGGACCTCAGTAATCCTGTGAAGTAGTTGGGACATCTGATGCTAGCCACGTTTTCGTGATGAGTAAACTGAGGCTGGGATTCAGTGTCTTGCTCAGAGTCGTTCAGAGGTGTAGGCAAGACCAGACTCCCCACCCTCCACTTCTGGTCCAGGATTCTGCTTATGTCCATATCCATGCATCTAACAGACATGGCCGAGGGGCCGCTATGTGCTAAGCACGCTACCAACAGCTGTGGGGATGGGATGAAGCGGATAAGTCAAGTCCCCCACAGAGGGCTGTAAGGTTGCAGAGGGGAGACAAACAGGCCTAGGAATTATACAAGGATGAATGCAGAGAGGGGGAGAAGAGAAGTCACAGGAGGAGAGGGACATGCTTACGAACTCAACCGGTGATCTTACTTTTCCCTTCTTAGGGAGAAACACTGAAAGAAGCTCAGGCTTTTACATTTGCTGCATGGGAATAAATGCTTCTGCCATGCATTCTCCCAGCCAGCTAGCCCTTTCCTGTCAGGCTGTGTCTGCACACCCACAGGAGAAAATCTGTAGGATTGGTTAGTCCTCACAATCCTGTTACTTAAATAAAAACTTAGGAGCTACTGAATTCTCTTAAAATTATGGCAGTGAAAGGAACACTTTTTATGTTAAAATCCTATTCTTCTTGTATTACATTTTGATTTAAGATTTTTAAGTCCAGTGTTTATAAGAGCCCTCTCCTCTCTGCTCAGTCTTTTCGGCTTGGGGTGGGGAAGGTGTTCCTCATGTCCTCTGGCTGTCTCTTATGGCTTCTCTGCTTATCCATGGGCAAGCGAGCTGTTAGAAGTGTTGTGAAGTCTTTATATGTCTTTTGGGTGTGGGAGAAGGAGGGAGAAGGTGAAAGTGGCACTTGGCTAGGGCTGCAGAGATGAGTCATTTGAAGAGGCATTTGCAGAGAGACAAAGGTGACAATAAATCAGAGTCCTTTCCCTCAACTCTTGCTGTGAGAGGTGACTCTGAGCAAGCTGCAAAAGGGGGGCACTTGAATGATGCTGCTGGGACCACAAGTATTTATCGTGCTCCCCGTGCCCTCCTTATCACCGGGGCTGAGGACAAGATGGGGGCGGTCATATGAAAAGAGCAGAAGCACCGGGAGGTATCCAGGTGAGTGGCGGGTAGAGTAACTTGCCGTCCACCAGATAGCCTGATCATGAGTGGGAAAGGCCTGGCATTTAATCAGCCTGGCATTTTCCAGCCTCCATATGCTGGCATCTGGGAACTAAAACTCCCAGATAGCCCAGACACCCTGTGACCTCTCATTCAGATGTCAGCAGCCAGGCAGATGCAGGCTCATGCCCAGGAGGAACAGCCGACTGGTTTGGCCACAGGCCAGTGCATTGCTTGTCTTGCCAAGTGAATGACCAGATTCTGCTCTCCAGAGCTTGAAGGCAGATAGGCTGAAACCTCTCAGATGACTCAGATGACAGAGGAGGAGGTAGAGGAGGTTGAGACTGGAAAAGGCCAGTACAGAATGAGTTACCCCAGTGGGTAAAGCAATCAACTAGTTGGTGACCTGTCTTTAAAAATACTAAAAATATGTCCTAAGAGATTTAATCATTAATGCTGTAAGTCTGACCAAGGCCCAAATCCATCTAGATACCAAAGACGTAATTTGAATGGGATCTCTTTTCATTACCACTTTCTTGCATTCACTCAGTCATCCTATCAAACAGGGTTTAGACCAAACATCTCTGTATTTAACAAGGGCTATACCTTGCGGACATGGCCCCTCCAGTGACAGGAATCCTGGTGGGAAACAATGTTCTCCATTCCTATATGTCAGGGCCAGGAAACTTTATCTGTAAGGAGCCAGACAGTAAATATTCTGGGTTTTGTGGGCCATGTGGTCTCTGTCACGAGTACTCAGCTCTACCGTTATAGCGTGAAAGCAGCCACAAACAACACATAAACAAACAAATATTCTGAAAACCTTTATTTATGATCATTGAAAAAGCAGGCAATTTGAATTTAATTTTCATACAACAAAACTTTTTTTTTACTCTTTTGATTTTTCCTTTCAACCATTTAAAAATATAAAAACTTTTCTTAGCCCACGGGTCATACAAAAACTAGCAGCTGGCCAGATTTGGGCAAACTACAGTTTACCAACTTCTACCCTACATGCATGGAAAGCAGCCTTCTATTTGCCAGGAGAAAGCACACTGCTATCACAGCCCTCCCATCAACTACCCAGTGGTCTTCACCTCCAAACTGAACAACAGGAAAACTCTATAATCTTTAACTAAGCTCTTTTAAAAGTCCATGTTCCGGGGGAAAAGCAAAAACAAAAAGCACTTGTTACTTGTTGAATTGACAAACTGAGACAAACATTCCTCAAGACTAGAAAGCCCTGGATCCAGGGAACTGACTAATCACTGGGCACTAACGCCACGGAGGCACGTGTGAACTCCCCGGGCTCAGTGTCTTCCCGCACAGCTCAGCCCATAACGATTTCTAAGCAGAGTATTCATTATCTCAGACTGATTTTCATTTCAGTCTTGCTCATGCCAACTCTCTAAAAATGATCCTAAAGACTTGTGACTGTTTCAATCAATAGCAACACAATCAGTAGAAAGCCCAACCTAGCACACTTCAAAATTAGCAGTCTTCTGGCTCTGTGACTCAATATTAGCAAGAGGAAGAAAAAGACTTTTCTTCACCATCCCCTCATTTAAACAAACCAAATAGGCTTCACAATAAAGTGGAGGAGTGGGTCTAATTCTTTGAAAGACTTTGCCAGTGGAAAGTAGATTTTCAAACTGGATAACACTCAGGCCTCTGGGAGAACCCCAAGCCTCTTTGCAAGATGCTCTGGCAGGCTGTGGATGGCACACGATTCTCCCTCTGAATTCGACATTTGTTGAGGCTGACAAGCCAAAGCCCTTGCACAATTTAATCTTCATGTAACTTCTTTCCATTGTCCAGCTGTAGGCAAAGGAAATGGGCGATGAAAGTTTTGAAGTCTACTCCAGCACCCACATTTTCCTGTCTTTGTTTGCTTTACTTTATAAATTTTTTCCATACATGCTATATAGATCTTGCTCTAGTTTACCTTTTGGCACCAAATGGAAAGGGAGAGTTGGCTTTAAAGGGGCTGTGAAGTAGGAGCCAAGCTTGACTCTGTCCAGGGGAGACAAAAAGAGACAGAAGAAGTTACTTCCACCAGCACCCCAGAAAGCAATCAGACATTCCCCGTGTGTGGTCAGTGAACAGATGGGAGTCTGTGTTTGCAGCTTTGGCCAATGTAATTCAGCAAATCCTCGCTGGCACCCGTGGTGTGCCAGGCCCTGTGCCAGGAGCAGGGGAGGGAGGATGAATGAGGCATGTCTGTGAGGCTCTCCCGGTCTGTGCTCTGCTGCAGTGGTTCCTTAGCAGTGTTGGAGGCTGTCCAGAGCAGTCAGGACGTTGGACAGAAATTGGGGTTGGAGGAGGTGGGATAACTTGCTCTGGCCATTATCCACCCTAAGTAGGTGTCATTCTGAGTGCCCTAACACACATGCCTGAGCAGACCAAGGAGATCTCTAGGGACGTGGGCAGTGTTTCCCTGAATGTTCTACTGAGCCTGACCCAGCTCACTTATAGATGAAAGACAGAAACCCTGCCCACTTGGCAGAAATAACACAGCTGATGACTGGGATTCAGAGGAATCCTTAAGCCAGAGTAAGTCCTTAAGTATGAGTAGCAGCCAGGAGGACCTCGAAAGTGAGGAAGGGTGGTCCAGGAGCAGGCTAGTGCGAACCAAGTCCCTCAAGGCTTGAGCCAGCTGGGGTCAAGGGAGCCCCTCTGAGGCCCGGAGTCAGAGCTGAAAGGCACAGGAGGGCCTGACTCTGGAGGACCTGCTGAGGGTGTGTGCTCGATTCTGTAAGCAGGGATCTCCAAGGTGGGGTCTCTGAACCAGCAGCATCAGTGTCCCCTGGGAATCTATGAGAAGTGTAAGTTCTCAGCCCCATCCAGACCTACTGAATCAGAAACTCTGGGGGTGAGCAATCTGCGCTTTAATGTGCTCTTTGGTTCTGATGGGCACTAAAGTTTGAGAGCCACTGACATATAGGATGAGGAGAATGACTTAAGCTGGCATTGGGAGGAACTGACTATTAACCAATAAGGTAAAATAATCAATTTCTAGCACAGTGATGACAGGGGGCCAAAGCAGACCACCCCGCCCCACCCTCCAGGGCCTTCGGGGCTCAGTTCACACTCCCTAAAGCAGTGGTCTCAGGGAGCCTGGTCCTAGTCCCAACTCCCCTCTCCTCTCTGGCAGGAGACAATTCCTGCCTGCCTGCCCCTTCCATCTAAGAGCGCAGCAGCTCAGGAGAGGCTGCAGTGAGGCCACCATCCCTGGGGAGGCCTCGGGCCAGGTTCTTGTCAGCTGAGCAGCGTCCTTGGAGAGGGGAAAGAATGAGACAGCAGCGCTGACCCTGGACCTCCAGGGATCTGCTCTCCCCCAGCCTGTCTGTGGGTGGAGCCGTCCAGGGCCTGGCCGAGGGGAGCGGGGTCAGTTAAGGACATGCCTGTTACTACAGCACGTTCCAGCTGTAATGGGCCTGGGGCATGCAGCATCACAATGCAAACACTACACTGGGTGGAGAATAGATGGCTTTTCTTGGAAGGGCAGAAACTCATTCTTGATGTTACCGAAAGTAGAAAACAAAACCCAAGAACAAACCCGCAGCCTGATCTACGGTCTGAATCTGTCTAGGCCCTCCAGTTTCCCAGGCCTGCGAAGCTGCCAAGCTCCACCAACACCCTTTCCCCAACTGACCAGATGCCTGAGGTCCGCCTCTTATTGATTTATGGCTATAGCTCCGTGCAGGCCCACAAAGCCTCGGGAGGAACTCGTCGGCGCTTTATCAGTCATTTGCACCTGAGTCTGGAGCAGTCTCCTCGTATGGGGGTTTTTGAGATTGGGAGCCAGAGGGCCAAGGAGCCAGGCCTTGGGGTGGAAGGAGAGAGGAAAGACAGACTAGACACAAGGCTGAGGGGAAGGAGCGTCTGCTTTTGAGTTCCTAGGAGCTCAGACTCTCTCCTGCACAGGGACATGTCCACGTCCTCTCAGCAGTCTCCTCACTGAGTCCTGAATGGCCTAAAGAAAACCCCTGTTTGTACAGCCCAGCATGGGAAAAGGTCGTCTGATAGAAAGCGCAACCAATTTCCTGAGGCCAACACAGAGATCCTATTGAGAATAACTCACCTATAATAAGTTAGAATCCACTAAAAAGGAAGAATACAGCTTGCCAGTTGTCTCCTTGGGAGAGAGCGTGGAGAAAAGCACACAGGAAGGGTCTTCACAGCCTGGCCTGAGTGAATTCTCTGATTCACATTTCTCTCCCCTGACTTAAGGCAACTGTGTTTCCCTTACATAAGTCATTTATTGCAAAAGCCTCTTTTGGCACAAAAGGACAGAGTGGGATGGCAGGAAGTGAGGGAGAGTCCTCTGGTAGTTCTGGAAGCAGGCTGGGCTCTGTCTTCATCGGCAGTCCTGGACTTGTGTCGGGGCAGTCAGGACTGAGGGTCAGGAGCTCAGATCCAGCCAGGACACCAGTGGAGTGAATGGGTAGTGCGGGGTGTTCCCTGGGGAGGCTGAGCCCAGATGAGACACACAGGTAGGTCATCGGGCAGGAACAGCTGTTCACATCTGTCAGAAACAATGGAGAGTGCTTCTTTGCAATACCAGGCTGGGCGTCTCCCAGCTCCTGCCTGCAGCAGTCTTCCCCTTCTGAGGAGCAGAGAGGAGCTGGCACCTCTGCACCACTGAAGTGACACACCCCCAGAGGCAGTCCCCACCCCATGAGAACTTGCAGTTAAGTGAAACCACAGTCCTCCCTTCCCAGGCACCTGATAAGGTTCCTGACCAGGACCCTGGAAAGCATGGTCATGTGAGGCTATGGATCCCAATTCCTGCCACCTCTGATGTCACAAGGGCCACCTCCTCAAGTCAGGAAGAGCAACTTATCTATCACAGCACTGAGCATGTGCCCGACTGATGTTGAGTAGAATTGAGTCCCAGAGATCATCTGACCTCGATGAAGAGACTTGGTTTGAAAAATTAAGATTTCCCAATGAAGAAATACTCCTTCAACTTCTCTCTTAATGCATTAGTCAAGGTCCTTTATAAAATCAGCTCAAGGAAAAGAGGAAGTACAGTGGGCAAAGGACAAGCCATGCTGCCCAAATGGACAAAAACCAGGAGTGTGTGTGTGTGTGTGTGCATGTGTGTGTGTGTCTGGAGAGCAACCTCTCCCTGGCTGGAGTCAGGAAAGGAGTCCTAAGCGAGGAGCAGGAGGAGATGGGCCTTGGTGGGCCCACTTACTCCACCCTATGCTCGTGGGCCTGAGGAGAGAAGGCCCTAATTTGTTAATGACCCCAGTCCTGTGCTGCTCTCCAGTCCCTTCCTCAGAGTGACTGCAGAGGAGACTCATCAACATGAGGCTCAGCTCCCAGTAGACTAATGAAAAGAGGGCACAGGCATGAGAAGGGCCAGATGCGGACGGTGTGTATTAATCACGGGAACGTGTCAGCTTTACTGTCTACATCATATGCCTTTACTTAGAACTGAGAATGTGTCTCTGTTACCTAGGCCCTTTACACTGAGCATTTCAGAACACAAAGGGCACACACACACACACACACACACGCACGCACGCACGCAAAGGGTTCTTTTTCCCAGCAGAAAGAGCTATCAGAGAAATGAGCTCACGGGTGGTGTCTATTTGCAGAAGCAGAGACAGCCCACAAGTATGAGCCACAGACTCCAGTGCCTGTGGAATGGGAGGAGTGGGGGTGGGACAGTGTCTGCCGTCCCCAAGGATTCAGCAGGGCCTCTGTGATGAGGACTCGCCTGTGCCTGTGGGTCACAGATGTGAATCTAATGTGCACATCTGCCACTCTGAAGCCCACCCCCACCTACCCCAGTGCCCTCACACAGCTGCAAAAGAGCTGCTGATGTGTGGGATGCAGAAGAGGTCCGCTCACGTTTGCTCACCAAACCTCAGATGGTAAAATAAGGCAAAAGCTTGCATGGGGGCAGGGGACGGAGTTAGACTTGAAACCCAGGGCAGATCACTCAAGTAAGAGGAGAGATACTGAGGAATGATGACTCAGAGTTGAGAGGGACCAGGGAAGTTGGATAGGAGCGACCACAACAGCTACAACCCCTCACCTAGAACACCAGAGCATTGCTCTGAGTTTAAAGCTGTACTCAGATTTCAAGAAAATTAGGGGTGAGTCTGGCCATGTGGGCTCAGGGGCAGTCAACTCAATTGCTTCCAAAGTCAAAGCTGTTTGAAGGTAATTTCAGTTCCTGATTGACTAGTCGTGATGGAGCAATCCACCTCATTGCTTCCAGCTGACCTCAATGCCTTCCACAAAGGGTTGTTGATGCCCCGAGCTGCACAGGCTTGGCAGGAGAATGGAGAAAACCAGTCAGTGAGTTTAGAAAAGAAACTGCATGTAGAAGATGGTTGTTCTTAAAGAAATCTGTAGGTATTAGAGTTGGGTTTATGTTATTGGCATGGACGTTATAATGTAGGTAAGGAAAAGAGCCAGAATGATTTGGTGAGGCATAAGTTGGGGAAATTAGAGTATTAAGTATAAATTATCAGAGATAAGTAGGCTAAGGACAGCTTATATATAAGTGTGTGTGTGTGTGTGTGTGTGTATATGCACACAAAAGTCATATACGTATCTGTAATGCAGAAGTAAGAGAAGAAAGAGGTCAACAGTCCCAACATATTTTAAATTCCTTGGAAGCACTGGTTTGGACATTTACTTTTAGCTCTCAAAGCACTTGCAGAGGGCCTTTCACATAGCAGGAGTTTGGTAAACACCTGGAAATTGAAGCTCTAGCTTGTCACTACTTGGTAGAGACTCAGTAGCATCACTGTACCCCAAATGGAATGAGCTGCAGAGACACAGGTCAGCCATATGCCCCTCTCCACTGAGGAGAAGCCTTTGCAAGGTCAGAGTCCATGCACACTCAGCCAGCTGCAGGCGTGGGGTCTGGCTCTCTGGTAGTGAGTAGTGATGGGACGTTGCACACGGTTTGTACACACTTAAACTGCATCTGCATAACACCCAACAGGCTATTTCTACAGAGTGTGGTCGGGGGCTTCCCTCCTGTTGTCTCTGCCGTTGCATAACACTTGGTAAAATGCTACTGAACTTGTCACCTTCAGGCATGATTCTGGAACTAAATGTAAAGGTGCTGGGCTCAGCCAGTCTAAAAGGTCTGGTGATTTCTTCTCTCAGCCCTTCTCTTCTCCCAAATCCAGAGATGCCACCACCATTTAGAAGCCCTGGATGGCTGTTTGTCCCCAGCTGCTCCAACACAGGGGTTGTGGGAAAGGTTAGATAAAAGGTGTGCTTTCTCTCCTCGGAGTCTCATGGCATTGAGGAAGAGCAGCCTCGTTTTGCAGAACATCTTCCATCACTATTACTGTCTGGGCAGCTACCGCTGTCTGGCCAGTGTCTCCCACAGTGGCTGGCTTGACCACCAGGGTCGGGCCACTGAGCACCTGACACATGTCAGACTTCTGATCTCTTCAAGTTGCCTCAAAGAATGAATATTTTTAATCTAGAAAATGTTTATTTCCTAGATATCCAATTGTGTAGGTATGGGTGTAATACAATGCAAATTTCAGAATATCTCATAGAAGGATTGTGCAAATTTACAGAAAATTTAATGTAGCTTCAGAAAAGCACCTTGTCTTCTTAATCAACAAGGTTGCCCAGCTGCAGAGGATCAAGAAAATGGGCTTTCTCCTCCCCACTCATTACTCAGCACCCTCTCCCCTGCCGAATTGAGCTGCCATATCCAATTCAGACTGACACGGGGTGAGGGGCGCAAAGAGTCTATATGTATATAAAGATATAGGAAGAAAATAAACCATCACGGGAATCTGTTGGGCTTCTTCCCATGACTGTGATCTTACCCATGTTTGAATCACAAACTTTAAATTTCTAACAATTAAGATTCTTGCAGTTTCCAAGTAATTTGTTAAATGCCTATTCAACACAGATATTTATTTTCAGCTGTGGCTTGTAAATGCCTACGAACTGATTCATGTTGGTGGTCATTATGACACTTTCTGTGAATTGGTGAATAAATATGATTTTAGAATTTCACAGTAAAGATGAGCTCTGAGAGTTTTTGTTGTTCAGACTATTTGATAAGGAGAGACACTGCTTTGCTGGGTCAATATTCTCGTGGCTGTGTTCTAAATCCATGGTTGGAGAACAGAGGCCGGTGAGATGTGGGGGAGGCGACGTGGCAAATTGGCCCCTATCTGGCTTCAGTCAGGGCCCTCTGTACCCAGAGCTGAACTTGGCAGCATTGTTGTTGGAGACCAATACACAGATAGTCCTTGTAACACTGGGCATGTACTGAGCACCTACAAAGTGCTGGAGCTCTCTGTTTAGGGTCTTAATTAATCCCTGAAGTAGGTCATCTTTACTATAAAACATGGAAAAGATGAGACCCAGACGAGTTGGGGAACTGCCCGAGGGCAAGTGGGACTGAGCACAGCCCTGTCCTTCCATTGTCTCTCTCCGTCCTGCTCCTCATGCCAACCTACCCTTGTACCCAGATGCCACCCAGGGCCACCTCACCCCCAAAGCCCACAGAAGATGGGCTCCCCTCGCCATGCAAAGCCAGTAGAGATCCAGGTGCCTCCCTAGGGTCCTGCATGGTGTAGTGACTGCGCCCTTCTCTCCCGCTTCACACGGGCCACCCAAGGGTCAGGCCCCATCCTTTGCTTGAGTTCCTGTGGGAAAATTCAAACAAAGCGTTGGCATCATGGAAAGGGGTCACTTGCACATGATGTGGCAAACAGCTGCATATCACAGTAGACGTTCCTGTATTTCAGGCTCCTTTTGGCCACCGTCCCAGCCGTGTGCCACTTGCCTGCCCTCTTCACCCCGCCCTTCCCCCTGCCCCGCTTTCATCTCTCTCCATCCTGTGCAGACATAAACAAAGAAAGTTCCTTTTTCTGTCTTTTTGAAGAGCAGCTTCATCATCTTTTCTTCATTGCCTGGTCTTCTGACAAAATCCATGCTTATTCTTCTACCCCAAGCAGTTCATCAAGACCTTCTCCTGAGGAGACCATTCACACCCTAAGAGGACTTTTTTCTGCTCAATGTCAAGATAGAATGTTACTGCATTGAACTGTATCTTTTATATCAGAGAGTCAACGAGGAGCCTGAGAAGGTTTGGTCTATTTGGTGGTCTTTCCACGCTTCACCTTGGTAATGCCCATGTGCATACACATACACACACACAAATATGCACACACACAAACATACATACACACACAAACACATACATCCACACAAACACACACACACAAACACACAGGTGCACACACACACAGCCCTATCCTTGGGTTTCCCTGGATACCAACGTGGCGGCTCACTTCCAGATCCCTGACTGCTCTTACCACCCTCTTACTCCCAAAACAACCCAAGTCCATGATCCTGCTGTCTGATAAATAGATTCTTCATGCTCTATCTGTGTCTATTCCTTCTCATCTCTTTTAAAAGGTTTCCTCATCCCACAGCCACCACAGCAGCCTCCCTGCTGGCTGTCCTCTCCCCGACTCTGTGCATGCCATGATGCTGACATTGCTCACGTTCCACTAAGCGGTGCCTCCCAGGCTGACGAGCCACAGAGACTTCTAGTAACTCCAGGGGTCCCCCAGTCCCTCAGCACAAATGAGCTATATTCTTTAATGTGAAGAAGTCCTAGTTTATCTGGTTGGAACGTAGGGATTCACATCAGGTCAACCTGATAGAGGATACATGGCAAAGACAAACAACAAAAGGAAATTTATAAACTATGGATAAAAGTCCTGGGCGGAAGTTTCATCACAATCATATCTGTCTGTGCTCTTGTGGAGAGCCTGGGATACAGTAAGTGCCCAGAGAGAATGTGTTAAACTGAATGGAATTAAATCTCAAACCCAGGATCCTCAGTTACCTGGCCCCAGCCTAAGTGTTCATCCCTATATCACCCAACTACCCAACATGAATCCTAGGACCTAGTATTCCCAAGTCTTTTACTCTAGCTGCTCTGCTACCTGGAATGCCGCCCCTCCCCCCACAACTTAGTCCATGGAAATTTTATCCCTAACTGGAGGTCCACCTCCATAGCTGCAGAGCTATTTATCAGTGATGCCATGCTTGCTTTCCCAGTGGAATGTGATCCTACCATCCTCTGCACCCCCAGAGCGTGTCCTAACCTATTGTTAAGTGCGGCAAGTGGAAGGTGGGGCGAACAGGACATAGGACATGTTGTTCTAAGCCAAACTCAAATACCTGCAGAGGTATGGCAGACAGGGTGAGTGAGCACAGTGGCCTGGGTGGGGCCGAGGGTGAAAAGAAAAATCATACCAAGTCCACAGGGAGAGCTGCCCCTCAACTCCAGCCAACTGTTTCAATGCAAGGATGGGTGCCCATCATTGCCAGATCTTCCAATATTCTGTTTCAAGAAAAGTCCGAAACACAAGT